TACTTGGAATGGAAGGGGGCTGAGTACCTGAAGAAGATGTAATATTGAAGTATGTCCCCTAACCTGAATCCCCTCAATTACCCGGTTCGGGCGGAGTTCAATAGGGTGGTCTACGATGGCGGAGAAATCGACTACCCCGCTGATCTCAGGTACCACATCGCGGTTGCGTGCCAGAATCTCCCGATGGCGCTCCTCCAGATGGCTGTGGCGAGGTGTCATAATAGTATTTGATGTGCTCTTTAATATGCTGGTAGTAATGTCCGATCAGAATTTATAAAGTGTAACTTACAGCGCCTTGAAAGTCAATGAAGCAAAGTGACTTTTTTTAGCCACCCCTGTATCCTCACTGCCCTTTGCCAAAATCTGATCTATTCTGTTCTCAAACATGGAGGAGAAGAAATTGGTGATCCCATGTTAGGGTCATGTAAACGTCTCCTGTCGCTCTTGCATTTTTCGTGACCGCCTTAATTGCAACCCTCTTTATACTGCTGGAAAAATGAGTAGGTGCCTTTTGCACGGCAGAGCGTGAAATGATTATTCTGTGCCTGTATAAGAATCGGATGCTTGTTCTCACGGTTTTGCACTCAACACGCTTTCCATAGACCGCATAACTGAGCCTCGAAATCGCTGCAAAATCACACGAAATTCCCAAAAAAAAATGTAAGGAGCTTCTGGAAATAATAATATTCCATTCTTGTGCAATCCCTCCTATATAATTGACTCTTCGTCCTTCTGCCCGTCTGCCTGCCTATCTGTCTGCCCTTCCGCTCGGAAATTGGACAGACATGAGTGTATGTCTGACAATGCCCACGATGTAGGATCAGATGTGAATTGGGTAGAGCATCGAGCTGAGCCACACCTGGCCCGCGCTTCAGAGCCTCTTTAGATGATACCCAAGATCCACGGGACCCACGTAATCCGAGCCGGGCCTAGGCCGCTATGGGCATGGCAGGCTTTCTATTGCAGGTGTCCGCGAAAAGTCATCGAGCGTTTTGGTGTTTTCACTTTAAACGAGTCGTGACTTCTTTCTAATACTCATCCGAAATTTAACTCGAAATAGGGCAACATTCGGAATCAGCGACAACTTTTGCAATATGCGACAGCACGTTGAGAAATCCCGATCAGAGTGAAAAAACTGGGTGCCGAGAGGCTTGGCGATCCGCTAAAGCTTTTTTGCCTAGCTCCCTGATGATGAAGTCATGTTTCCAAAGCAAGGGAGTTCTGAAAAAGTAGAAAAGGTGATAAGTCGTTGGAGCGAAATGTCTGAGAAATATGGCGGTTGCATGGTAGAAACTTCAACGCCCAATTCGTCTTCAATTTACCGGATAGTGATTTGAAACGTGTGGGGCGCGGCGTGTGTCATCCAAAGGAATCGACCACCTTTCTTTGATAATTTTGGCTAGCACTGAACAAAATTTCGGTAACAATTCGTCGATTTCTGCCTCACAATAGGTTCTGTCTGTGATGGTTTGGCCTGGTGATAAAAAGTTAGTAGTGGGCACACCAGCCGATACCCACCAAAGCCGTGACCAAGAGCCTTTTTTTTCGTGAGTTTCGGCTTTGGAATTAATTACGCTCGTGGTTCGTCAAAATCCAACCACTGTTGTCCGGAAGCCGTCTTCCTGTTATCATATCATGAAACCATGGTGTGTAATCACATGGGGTGACAATCGGCCCAAAACAGGTCGTTTCTGCTCGGCAAAGCATGCACGAAGGAAACGCTCTACAGAACGTGCCGTATTCCTGCCGCCACCTCCGATTGTGGGGGCACCCAATTGTCGAATTTTCGCCTTCCCTAAATGCGTTCTCACAGACCATCTGCAGCACATGGATTTGCCAAGGCCTAGCTCTTCTGCTACCTCTCGAACTGTTTGGGGGGAGGGCGGGGGGGGGGATGCGAGTCAGCGCTCCAAAATCGCCCCTAAAATTCCTCGTCAGATCATTGCTTTAAGGTTGACGCGCTAATGAGGTTCATGCTCAAGGCTGAAACTCCAGAACGGATAAATTTGCTGAAGCCATTCCGCCGCACAGATGCCTTCCTAGTCACTATTGGGCCCTCACACCTGTTAATTTGTTGAGCTGTGTTCGATGCGGATTGCCTCCAATTTATAGGCAGAAGAAAAAATCGTCCCGAAGTGCTCCCTTATTCACATGCCTTGAAAAAAATCTTGAAAAAAGAAGGTTTATAGAAGCAATGGTGAAACGGCAATGTATACCATCAGAGTAGCGCAAGAACAGTTCTCTACTAGGAGTGCTACTTAAAAGCAAGGCAGAATGAGTTTTAAATAGCAGCAGTGAATGTACGAATAAAAGAATAGTCACAAAACCTGAAGAACTTTCCGGAAACCTAAATAACAAAAACGTCTATAGAACAACCGAATAATTTGGAGGCAGACAGCCTCAGAACGCTCCGATTAACAAGCGGGTAAGGTTTGGCAAAGGAAGGATGGACGAAATGTGAGGGGAGTCACACTCACAATGAGGCAGCGGACGTTCAGCAGATGCTCAAACGTACATAAATCACCCATAGACGCGTCCAGCTAGAGTTTGAAAATTTGAAACATTAATGTCAATCAATCTAAGCCGAGTGTCTGTTACTGGTACGTTTGCCTCTGCTGTACCTCTTGAGGAGATTGTGTGGTTGGCAGATTGTCAAGTCGTTAAATTTTGAACCCCGTCTCTCCGGAGGGTGAAAAGCGCCGCGTTCCATGCAGGCACACAACAACTGATCAGCATGACGCCTCCAAGCAGAAATTTCCTCTACGATGCCTAGCCATCCAATCGCGGTTTAGAAAGTATGCCCCTATGATTAATACGTGCGTACAGCTTAAGCTTCTTCCTCACGACATTCCGCATGTTTTTCGTTTAATGGCAGAGAACTTCGCCAAACATCGCTAACCAACTGGGCTAATCAATTACGAAATAAAGCCAGCGCCTCACTGGCTTCCGTCTCAAGATGTGATCAAGAAGGCAAGGCGATCTTGTCCTTAAGTTCGTAGCCCTCCCTTTCTGGCTGTAAAATTTGTAGCGGCTTTCGGCTTGAAAGGCATTTAATACGAGCATGCGCGGCAAACTATATCCCCAGAATTGTACTACAAGCAAGTGGCTACAGAACCAACGAGTAACTCATTCCGCTCAATTAAAAATTCGAGTCGCAAAATCCGAACGGCACTTCATAGAAAAAAGCTATACTGTTGACAAGCAAACACGGGAAACCCAAAATTCGCCGGAGCTCCATACCCGAAATCAATGGCTAAGATGTACTGTTATCTTTTTCTAGTTCTTTTCTGGTCCTGTTTGTCTGTCATTGCCCTGTCGCGTTCTAGATGAGTGATCACATCTTATAGAATGCCCTAGAAAGGACTGGCGGTTTAAACATGGGACTTGGACAACACCATGGACCAAGCCACTGAAAAAGCCCGCTATCAGCTTTGGGTCAAAGAATGAGGAGTCCAAGCCCAGGTTCAGTTCGTTGTTTCGGAGAACGAACCGGGAAAGCCGGAGAGAAAAGAGCCTATACAAGCTGGGCTTAGGCCGGATGATGGAGATAGCCGCCCAGCTAATTGAAAAGCGCATTCTCCAGAAGGTCGAACGTAGCAATAAACCGAAAAAGAAGATGCTGCTGTGATTAGAACGTTGTCCTAGAGTTCAAGGCAAAGGGCAACTTATTCCTCACAAAACAGGGGTATCAATGTGTACCGTTCTGAGGAAAGCGCTGCAAGTTATCCGCTTGACGACTATTCGTTGAGATGGCTTGATAGAAAGACTTTCATTGCTGTTTCGGAGAAAACCCTACAGTACAGCTGTCACTAAATGACCATTTTATCCAGTTGGACGTGAACTTCTTACCTTTTCTTCGTCATCTTCATCAGGAACGACAGAAAAGAAGCGTGGCGACAGAATTTCCAACATTTTCCTGTCGAAGTTTGTAATGTTTTTCCCTTCGATCATCATAACTAGTTTTGCCGCTGAGATGAAGGGCATATATGAACGATAAAGCTCGACAACATCGATGAGCTCTCACCTTCACGGACAAGATTCCCTGGAATTTGCATCAGTTTTTTGTAATTGGATGGTTCCTGTTGTTTTCTAGGTCCTTTTCTTATCACGTCGTCTAATTCATCATAATTGTCGTAATCTCCAAAAACACTTTGCTTCTGAAAATGTGCAATAACATACGGCTCTAATTTTTGACGGTAGGAGGGGCTACGGCTCAACATAGCTCAAGCTAGTCCTCGGGCATAACCAGTACTCGAGAGAACGATAGGGTCAGCCGTAAATCGTGAAATTCGAGCTAAACTGAATGGTTAAAGGGTCCGTATTGGCATGAAGCACTGAGGAACACACTGCATTCACAAGAGAAGAAAAGAAAACAAGTAATTGTAGTAATCATGGTAATTTTAATAAGTGGTTCAGTAACAGGTTCAGTAATTATTAGTAATTTCTGAATTGAATGAAGTCGGAATCTCAACACCTGCCTTCATTGTTCTCTGAGAAATGGATCGGTCGCGTAAGGCTTGCCTCACGATGTCGACGTGCCTGTGCAGTAAGTGCTCTATTTTCCTTCTCTTTTTCAGTTTTCTACCCTCTATTTGAAGCTCTCGGATCGTATCCTTCCAGCTGAAATATTTGGTAACTACTTTTGTGATAGACAGGAAGCTAGTATAGGCAGCTGCTTGCGCCTGCGAAACTTGTTTGATTTTATGGTACTCCTCATCGGTTGACACTTCTCTCTGCATAGCTCTTGCTACGAAAATTTTGCTATCCTCTGGATACGTATAAGTACTCAAAGGGTGGATACTTTGGAAATTGTTCGTAGAAACTGACAGGGATCTAACTGCCAGATCTTGTTTCCCCCAACCAATACTGTTCACGATTGTTTCCACCCTGTTGGGACGGACCACTATTTGTATAGGCCTGGTATAATTAATTAAGGTCTGCAAAAGCACTACTGTTGAAAACTAATCGACAAAGTGAAGCGATGAATTGCAAATAGCTCAAGCAGCCCCGATGCAACTTAGGTTAGTCTGAAAGATGTTGAGAGAACAGTCGGCTCACCACCGAACTCCTATTCAAATGGCTGTTACTTCCACTTGCGCGCACATTAAAATTCAAGAAAACGACGACGTACTTCTTGTTTTCTTTTTCATCTTTATTTTTAAGTCTTCGAACTTGACGAAGAAGGTCCCTTGCAAGCGAAGCCATCAGCGACTGCTGATTCTCTGAAATGATAAGCATAGGAAAACTGTGAGAAAGTCTTCTAGCCCTTACTCCATTAGGAGGCATCCCATTGTCTCCAATCAACATACCAAGCACATTTTTGGAAAGACGCACTAAGTAATCACGAAGGTATTGAGAAGTCATGGAATGGCTCTGTTCTTAATAACTCGCCCTTTCTCGGCTCTTCCGAATTGATGGGCTGCATTCAGTGCTGATAGATGAGAGGAAAGGAATGTAGCCAGGGATATAGATCCGCGCAAGCCTAAAGGTAAGGACCTCTGGACTGGATGCAAGAACTCTTAGGCGGATCACCGACTTTGGAAATGTGTGCGTTTCTTTGCCCCATATTTCTCCTTTCTTGCCTTACCGCCTTTTGCTGGTCAGCTGTCTCGCCATATTGCAGCACACATAGGGTACAAAATTGAGGTGGTACCAGTTCCGAAAGGCAACAGCTAAAACTGGTGCCATTTTTCACAACTGCAAGATTGCTTTTCATATTCGGAAGAAGTCTCTATGAACGTAAGGAATTTGCACAGTATTAGAAAAAAAACTTACCATGCTTGAGATTGTAGCTATTCCTATTGACAGGCACTACTTTTGCGGACGAACTCTGGGATATGGAACGTTTTGTCCGCATAAGAAATGAGCCCATCCATTTGACTCTAGATGGAGATGAGAACTGGAAATAGCCAAGGTTGTTTTACCGTGCCCGAGACGTATAGTTTTCTGAAGTCTAATGCGTTAAAATGAACTAACTTGTTTCGAATCTCGTCTCTGTTGTTTCCTTCCGGGAGCGTGTTTCTTTCGGGACCTCTTGTTGAAGGTCCTCCTTGCTGCGCGAAGTGCTGAACAATGTTAGTCAATCAAGTAAGACTAGTTTAGCTAAAGCAAACTATCGTGATGCTTCCATTCTATAAACCACTAACTTTGTGTGTCGGTTTGTATGTTTGTGAGTATGTAGGTATGTATGTATATAGATTTGTATGTATGTCTGTCCGTCCGCAAAATGCTTCACGGGTTTGAGTTAGCGGAGAGAGAAAACGACCGCTTAACAAACCGGTAACCAATTGGTGCGGATGTATCAATCCAGTGTTTTGATTGTATCACAATCAAAACACTGGATTGATCAGCCTCCGCTATATAGGACAACCATTCGGTACCCTCCGAGCCATTGCACGTGCTGCTGGCGTGGCAGCTGGACGTGTACTTAGTGACCCCTCCCCTCTGCTTCCTTCCCCTGCACGTGCTCAGCCGGACCTGAGCACCTGTAGGGTAGATTAGCATGGGACAGATTGGATGAAGGGGGAACAGATAGGAGTGGGAAGCGTACACACGAGTAGAGCAAGCGGCAAGAGAGGAGGAAACAACCGCTAGCAGAGCTCGAGCTAGTCGAAATAAAGTAACAAGCTATTATGTTCTTCTGATTGTGATACCCTCACTATATGAGACAGCCATTTAGGACTCTCCGAGCCATTGCACAGGCAGCTCGCTGGACGTGAGCTCGCGCGTGGGTTGCTCCATCCATTACGATTCGATCAAAACAGCACAGTATGAGCCGCTCAGTGAATGAACAAATTCCGTTTCCATTATGAAGTGCCGAAGCCAAGCCAGCTAAAAGAAGGAGGAGAGCTCAGCATCAGCCGGGCGATCGGACTGGCTTAACAATAATCCTCACAGTCAGTGACATGTGCTGCATCGTGAGAGGGAAGTTCGAAGTATTTTCGGTATCGGATAATTAGAAGTTCGATAAATAATTTCAATAGCTAACGACACTACCTGCGTGTATATAAACAGATTTCATTTAGTCATAATCATTGCTATTTTAGTTATCCTTGGTGAAAGAAGACCAGAATGACTGCTGCAGCAATGATGAGAAAACAATTACTGTTCAATAAATCAAGAGTGATTACTTCTTGTTCTCCAACCCAGCGGAACCTCCGTGGAAAGCGTTTTTCCGACGATGAAGGGCTAAAGGCTGCAATTGATGAACATTTTTGGGACAGGGACGAAGCATATTTGTTAGAGGGTATTAAAGAGTCCATCCCCCTAGCAAACCAGTGTATCGAGCTTATGGGGGACTACATTGAAAGATAAAATTTATTCGGGATCTTCTGCCTTTTCCTCCATACCTATACCGAGAATACAATGAACATCCCTCGTACCTTCGAGCGCACGCCTGGAGCTATTGCTTGAGCCTATCCTGTCGTCAGTCTCTTTTTCTAGGTTTGATGTAGAATACCTCCGTAACCTCTGCAACTTGAGCGGTTTCAAAAACGAGCGCAAAGCGTATTGCTGTAGCAAGCACACCAAAACAGTGGATCGTTTTACTGCTCTGTGCTCCTCCTTCTCCCGCAGCAGAAGAAGAATGCTTCAAATGGTAATCTTACGTTGTTGGTGAATGATTATCGTGATATTAGCCATGAAACTTTTCATTGTGCTCATCACATTTTTATATACAACACAGCTTGGTGGTCGGAGTCCTTCTGATAATAGAGTAAGAATAAATCTTGCTTTCAATAGATGAGATCCTAAAACCGAAAAAAACGTGTTTTTCGGAGCTAACAAGGGAGGTCGTTCAGGCCGTGGTGAGCTTTTTCAAAACGGTTTGTTGTATGTTGTAGGGGTCTATGCGAGAACCACAGCGATGGGGTTTATTTTTGCTAAACGGTACTGGGAATGTCAAAAAAGGTCAAAAATAATTCGAAAAGAATGGACTTTTTAAACCACCTTATTCGCCTCTGTTCTAGCTGTAGCGTTGACAGGGTATAGTATGTATGTGGGGTATCCTTTGAGTAGGCATGAGAAACAGCCCAAAATAAGGTCAAAATCCCAATGCTTTACTTGGCATGTGGTGAGCTGCATTGGAGTTATCCAGTCATCTGCACATTTCTCTTCAACAGGTCCTACATTTCCCACGGTCCTACATTTCTACAGCAGGGTGGCACGGTGGTGTAATGGATAGGGGTGGGACTCGCCTTTGGTGGCGTTTATGGATCGAATACGTTCTTGGCCATTTTTTGCATTTTTAGATTTTGCTTGCGATTTTGTTATGTCCCGAATGCATAATGTGTTATTGGACCTTGATTATCGCGCCAATTGTAAAGAGGACTTCCATGCTGGAGACCGGTTCACAACGGTGCATCACTCAATATTACGTCGCGAAATACTATACCAGAAACTCTCTATGAAACTTGGGGTACGGCGGTTATCCGGTGCTTGATCTGAACATGAATTCTCTTTCAAATATAGGCGCAATGTGTCGCAGATTTGGCTGCAGAAGGCTTTTTCTCCGTGCATCATTGCTCAGTTGTGCGCGGCGGGGCTTATTTAGTGCCTACGGGTCCCCAGATGGCATCCGCAAAATAAGTGGTCAGAAACGCGTGATCATTCTGAATATCACTACGTATAGAGTTACGCGGAAAATTTTTTCCGAAGTTTTTTTGTGTTATGATTGCCGCCGCTGTCTTGCAAGCGTATCAGCTCATCCCCTCCGTAAGAGTCATTTCTTTAAGAGGGGTTTTTTCATTGTTAGGTTGCGAATGAGATATTCAGGACTACGACAAAAAGTGAGGCACGGCCTAACTGACATCACTATGCTGTTGCTATTGGGATAACAGATCTTTTTTCCGGCAGGTCGGTAACGGTTCTTTGATCGAAATGATCGAAAAGAGGTATCAAAGTGAGAGAAGTTTCGGATGCTCGTGTAATGACTCTGAGCCCCAGAGTTCTATTGTGTAGCGATGAGTTGAAGGTGCAAGAAATGAAAATTTTCTTGCGGTTTGTATGCGAGGGATACTCATGTGACGGTTCGTGTCACTGCCATCCAATAGTCAAGTCTATGACACAAAAAAACTCGAAAATTTTTGCCCGCTGATCCTGATTAAGTAGGCGGTAATCAATGGCCCTGATCACGATTTGACAAGTTATTTATGGCGGCCGACGTGATCTAGCCAGCGTGGCCGCTAAATGGCACTGCGAGGTAGTAGCGGATGATACA